TTATGCCAATTCCAATTTTTGGATTTTGAGAGTTTGGAGTTTCCCTCGAAGATTTGGATAACTTTTTGAACGACTAACATTGGCAATGTTTTGAAAAACACTGCCGATGGACCGACTTAACCAAAGATACTGGCTTTGCCGATGCAAAATTTAAACAAAACTCTCAGTTTCGGGGTTACAATACTAGACCGACCGTAATGTCTATTTCATTATTTAAGTCTTCGTAGAGATTTTTTCAAGTATGCAGCCACGTTTACATCCATCCAAAAATGTGGAATCAATCGTCTCGTTTTCAAATAAACGTTTGACTGGAAGAAAAATAAAATTCCATTTAGAATCGGAGCGTTTATCTTCATTGTCTTGTAATCTGTCGCTCTTCTCAGAATAAGAGCAACATCCCAGAGTTGATTGATTTTCAATTCGGGGGGAAGTTCACGGCTAATGATCATGGATCTGGACTAACATTTCATTACCTTTCTCTCCCCCAAGAAATCGTGCAGGATTTGTTGTGAAAAAATCTGAAGCATCTGATTGCTGGATCTCTGGGAAGACTTTCGCCGTTAATGGCATGTATTGTGCTGGGGCCTCATACTAATGGAACTACCATCAGCTACCTTTTATGCATCGATGACATTTGTTTTTATAGAAGGCCAAATCAGTCAGAAGAAACCACCATGCGAAAAGAGGTATTGCTATTTTGTCTGGAGATGGGGGGAGGGATGGTTTTGGCCCTGATATAGGGCTTGAGAAAAAGAATTGGGCGTAGAGTTCCTTTGTTGTTGGAATGACTCTACCTCACGCAAAGCTCTTTCAATCTTCTTCAAAGGAATCTTCTGAGAAATTAGGAGGAAGAATGAGAGTAGATCAACTCTGTGCCACATCTAGCAGATGTGCGTGTAATGCACCTAAAAATGTGTTTCGTGCCTTAGTTATCGGTGAGCTTCCCTTAGGTCTCCTTCAGTGAAGAGAAGTCCTTGCCGTAGGGACAGTCACATCCTCTTCTATCCATTATCCAGGATTACGGACAATCGGAATTTTTAGAAAGTAAAATCCAAAACTTAATCAACTGGGAGGAATGTACTGTTGTTAATGAATCTACACACGAGAAGGAAAACATACAAATCGAAGCAATGAATCCGAAGAAACCATTCAATATGGTGCATTACTATGCAAAGTCTTTGAACAGAGCAAATATTCCAACCGGGAACAAGGTCGGAATTGAGAGGAAGCACCCTCTTCCTCTCAGTGTATCATATCCAAAAACTGCTCGTTGCCTTGTGTTCGCTACGTTTCTCGTCGTACGGAAAGAAAAGGGAATAGTGGGGCGGATAACAGTATCATGAAGCCCGAGACTTTGCAGCATATATGTTTTCCTCCACATTCCTTAATGTTTCCCTCTATTCCGGAAGAAGAGTGCAGGTGATGGGGGGATAATCTACAGTCTGCAGTACGTTATCGTTTGGCGGGAGGGGGCATAATTTAATGGGAATGGCTCAGGTTCCTTCCTTCCTTCCTTCGCCGGGTTTGATCGATATATGGGACACACACAGGGCCATTATTCTCCAAGGTCACATTCGCATTCAACACCGTACATTCCAAGACTCACTCATTCGTTCCTTTCATTGCTATCTGCATTCTCATTCCCACTTTTTTTTCCCCCTTCCTCCGATTCCTATCGAATGGGGCAATTAGGGCCCATTTCAGCAGTTCCTTTTAAAATTTTCTCCTCTTATCTCCATGAATGCGAAGGGATCCAATTAAGGAAGATTCTCACCAAATTATTCACAGGGAAGTCACTCCGTTGGTGAAGAGTGAATCTTGGAATTGATGGTTCATTTAAGTAGTTACTCTTATAACGTATTGATTTTATGAGATTCATGTGCAGTACCCGTGGTAGTTAGGTGTCTTCGTAAGTGTATATTTCAACTCCGTCGTTCAGGTGTTTAAACTGTTTGTCTGATTTTTTTAAATGGAAAATGTTTTCATGTCCCAATTTCCCCCCTCCCTCCCCCCACAGAATATGTTGCATGATCTAATTTGGCATCCGTTTTCCCCTGTGCCATGACAGCGAACGTGAGTGAGAACCACAATCCAGTGCGATGTGCATCCCGAACGAACTCTGCAACAGCAGCAATAACAACAACTGCCTTGTTGAAGACTCTCTCCTTCCTCGTCCTGCTGCTTTTCAACTCCTCGACGTGAGACCGGGACAAACGAAGAAAGTGATCGATGGAATTTAGGAATCAAAGATCCAGGCATATCGATGTTTTAACATGAAAGAAAATTGGAAGGAGAGCAGAGAGTTTCCGAATCTACTGCACACTGCCTCAATCCTAGCCTTCTCGCACACTTCGGTCCAACATACGAAAAAAAAAGAAGATAAAAATCAAAACCATGCCCAAAACTCCCGATTTGCAACTTCTGTAAATATAGGTGTAGGCTTTCCAAATCATTATAGCATCCGATGACTGCTGTCACAAAACCATGCCTACATTCTTTTCTCCTCACGCCACACATTTGTGATATTAACCGAATGCAGAAAACTCGGAACCGCAGGACAGTGAAGGTCAAATAGTAGCAAACAAAGGATGATTAGAAAAGAAAAAAAAAAGCATTCCACAGAGCTGTTCTTGCCAGGCACTGAACGCAGACCCTCGTTGTAGATGTGTAGAGGAAAAATTTTCCATAGAGTGAGTGAGAGGCGTGTTTTTCTACGATAGCCTTATGATAAGGGGAATGTTGATTAATTATTGATCGATGATCTAGTCCCTATAAAAAAAAAGCGTGAGAGGGAGAGAGAGAGAAAAACGCTCACTGCGAAAATACATATCGATTGTAGGCTGCATCCGCGCCTCCTTCTCCTTCCTTCCACTGTTTCTTCATACAATCAGCCAATCAATCAGCCAATGAATCTATCGATCAAAATGTTGATGATTATGGAAAAGCAGACAGAAGAGGTGTGTTCAAACACAGCTCCTCGTCATTCGCATCGAGAAATCAGTCAATCATATGGACAATCCAACGTTTCCCCATCTTCTGTGTCTTTCCCAATCCTTTTTTGCGAATATTTTCTGTCAGTTAGTTTCCACCTGTTGTTTCCCCCTCGAAGGTGTCTTTCATCTGTTCAATCGACATGGAAGTTATTTTCTCCTGCCTTTCCATTGTTATACCACGCACACGTATACACTGAATGTTGGATATTGTCATGTTTTTCCTTTCTTTTTTTTTTACCTGCTCAATGGAGATGGATCAATCATCAATCCCTGTCTGTTTCGTCCTCATATCTTATTCCCCCTCCCCGAAATTGAATCTCCATTCCATTCTGGGTCTCCAGTGACCAAAAAGATAATAAAATTGTTGACTCTTTTACAACCCACTCATTTTCCATTTCTCTTTGGACAGCGAGCTGTCCACAGCTTTGGAGCTGTGAGGAGGGCAGGAATTCTGTTGGAGGCATCATCGATTCATGTCTCATATTACTAAAAAAAAAGCCACAATTCAAATCGTCGCTTGAATTCAGTTAGATACTCCTTGAAACGTACGTAACTTCAATTTTCTTCCGGACATCTAACTTAATTTTGAAGGCGCATAAGAGTCAGAGAGCAACTGACCCCAATACAGCGGCGAAATGCTATTTTTGAATCCAATGAGAACTTCTTGCACCAGCTGTCATCGGTTTGCGTTTAAGGACATTCAGCGTGAGTTTAGTTCATGAGAACGTGCTACAAGAGGGCAAAACAGAAGTTATGTGGACTTGCTCATTCTTCGACGGCAACACTGCTTGAGAGAAGTGGCGGCGCCCAGTGGATGAAACGTTGTGGTTTATCATTTCCACATGGGGTGATAGGAGTAAAATCAGTCCACGGTGTACGGGAGCAGCCCTTTCATATATAAAGTAAGTACCACATATAAATGGGTCCTTTAACAATTGATTAGGCTACTCCTATCGGAAGTGCATCGGAAGGGCAGTTATCAGCATATGTAGAAAGGTATTATTCGCAGTAGGCATGTTGGCAAAAAAAGCTCGAGTCTGAGGTTGAGATTGTCACATTCGGGAATGATTCAGACATTGTTCATCTAGAGAGGTGTAGTCAATAAGCTCCGTTAATAAGCCTGAGCCTATTATATGATAACTAGATCGTATTGCCTTACGTTAGAGACTTCACCTACAGTAAACTTACTAGGTCTGCGATAGTCCTTTTACCCACCAAAAGAAGATATGTCAGCCCACAACAGCCAGGTAGTCTAGGCCTAGACCCAAAAGGCATGGGCAGTGGAATCGATTTTTTAGAAACAGGCCTCATGCTGTGAGGCTATTCCTGAGAGGTGGAAGATTAGACATCTTTTTAGAAGGAGCAAATAATAGAAGCAATTGACAATAACAGTCGTTTGAGAGTTTAGTCTTTTTTCATACTCCTTCTACACAGCATGCTGGATTTGGAATGCATCCTGTTGACCACAGGAAAATTGCTTGTTGCTTCCTGCATATGCTGCACTGCATCTGCCATACACCATTTTCCTCTACATCTCTAGACATGGGAATGTTTTCAGTTCTATTGAGCAAGCTGTACTGTAGACTTTTGCTGGACAGTGAGTTGCATCTAGCTTCTGTGCAACAATATTCTTGCTGCATGGCAGGATTACAATCCAGCACAGCTAAACATTGGAGAGTATCTCTCAAAATTCTAAATTTTATTGGTGGCAAGTATCCTTAGGAAATCCAATGAAAATAGATATCCAATGGTAAAGGAGGTTGACATTTAGGAGTGTTGTAGCTCCTGTTCAACTAGAATCTGATAGTTCTACTGATTTCACTCAAACGTTGATGGGATGCATGCAACCAAGCCTTCATCAGTTGCTCTGGTGCACTGGGTTGGCCTTGGACAGTTATCACAGGCAGGTGGTTGGATGGCCCCTATGTTATGCTTGAATGTCATTCCCCTATTTGTTGATGTAGATTATGTGCATCTTTATACTGGGAGCCTAGGTTGTATTTTCAGGTTATTTCAGGAAAATGGAATCAAATGAGAGGACACCACTCCTGCAGCAGACCTCAAGGACGGTATCAATAAATACCAGAGATGCAGATGAACTAAGACACCAGGTTATAGTTGGCCAAGAGTATGGAAATGAACGGTCTGGTGCCATAGGCATCCAGAATCGGAAACCTCAGAATAAAAGAGGGTGTTTGGAGAATCGATTCCTTGCTCTCTTCTTCATGTGCTTCATGGGCTTTGGTCAGCTTTACTTGCATTTTTAAATTTCCATCCCCTATGCTAAGCTTGTGAGCTGAATATATTAACTCGTTTAATTTTAATTACAAACCTATTTTATCCTATTTCAGGTTCATACTTCTGCTATGACAACCCAGGAGCATTACAAGGGAAGATCAAAGATGACATGGACATCAACACCTCCCAATTTGCCAATCTCTATGCCATTTACTCATGGCCCAATGTTGTCCTATGTTTTGTTGGTGGATATCTCCTTGACAGGTTCCATATTTACCTTGAGTCAAGATACAAGTATTTATGTTGTGTGTGAAGTTCATTATTGATATTTGGTTTCTCACTTTTCAGTGTGTTTGGAATGAGGTTGGGGACAGTGATATTTGCAGCATTTGTCCTCCTTGGACAGATAGTGTTTGCAGCTGGAGGTCTCCTTGATGCTTACTGGCTCATGATGGTTGGCCGCTTCATCTTTGGGTCAGTATAAATGATTATGTGGTTAGCAGCTGTAGGTGCAGTGCCACTTATTGGTAACAGCATTTTTCCACTTGCCTGCAACAATACAACATGCACAATGAAGGTTATGATTCTGATGTTCACATACAAATAATCTCAATTTCATTTGCTGCTCAAACGAGAATCTATTGGACCAAATTAGAATCTATTGGACTCTAAGAGGAAAGTGTTAAACTCAGTTGATATACAATGTGAAAAGTAACAACTGGACTTTCTAGCTCCTATGTGATTCTTCTACCCTTTTTGTTATTATAGTGTTGGTGGAGAATCCTTGGCTGTTGCTCAAAACATGTATGCTGTTAGCTGGTTCAAGGGCAAAGAGTTGAACATGGTGTTTGGCCTCCAGCTCAGTTTTGCCCGAGTTGGGTCTACTGTGAATTTTGCCTCCATGATGTATGTCTACAGCTACATCCATGAATACTTCAAAGGCCCCAAGTGCATTGGAGTTGTTCTCATGATTGGTTTGTTGTTTGAGTTCACTAAAGAGTCTTCTTGTTAAAAAAATTTCTTAAATGGCTTCAATAATGTTTTGAGGTATTTATAGAGAAAATTTAAGGCTCAAGTTAATAATGGAAACATTCAGAATGTGGTATTTAATGACAAAGCGCCCAAACTGACCTTTGCACTTCACACCATCCCTGATTTTCATTTTTTTGCATGCTGACCCACTTGGAAGAAAAATCCAGTTTGAATAAATTAAGGTTCATTGAGTCACTAATGTTAGAGTTATAATCCTGGAAAATTCTGGGTCAGTCTATGACCTCGGCATATTAAAAATAATTGCACACTCCTTAGAATTGTTGTTCAATTGTGAATTGAATGAGGTACAAAATCCGTTGCAGAACCTCAGAACCCCATTAAGATAGCTATAATTTTCAAAGCCAAAAAATAATTAGCACTTGATGTTTTCTTTTTGACAGTCATGACCCTTGAGCACTCCTCAGATAATAATAAAAATTACTAAGCCTTGGCAACAGAGTTCTTCAAATTTTGTTGAAAAAGTATTTTATCATAATAAAAGAAAGTTAAGCTAACATTTCTTGAAGATTCTTTAAACCTAGGGACATCCTTCCTGTGGGCAGTATGGAGGAATTACTGCCACTTATTCAGAGTAGTTAGCTGTGACTTTCTTTGGAAATAATTTTTAGCATTTGAATTTTTACTTGAGCTTGCAACCCCTGCATACTCAGAGATGTAAGAATATTTTTCTGGACAAAAGGAAGTTCTGTTTCTCATGATACAGCCATCTAAGTTGTGTTTTGATCTTTTTCTGGAAGATAATTGCTGTTTAATCCTCCAGTGAGGAGATTTTCTTTAACTTGAAGAACAACAGGCTTTTGTATTCAACATGAGCTTTATATCATGTAGTGGAAACATTTAAAAATATAAAAATGAAACAAAATGGAAACATGTCTGCTTATCTATTCTCAATGTCCTCTTTATCTAGAATGTTATGAAGTAATCTTACTGCTTGCTTATTTAATGTAAGCTACAACTCTGCTGATGGCATTTTTGGATTCTCCAATTCATTCTGCATCAAATGACTCATTTATTTGTCCATGACAAAAATATGATGGGGAGGTCTGTGGTTTTTTGTAAATTTGGAAGTCACAGGCTGACCCCAAATTTTCCTGGGTCATAAATCTGAAGCAAGTGATAAGGTTAGCCTCAAATTAGCATGAAAGCTTTTCTCCCTTAAATGATTCAGCATGCAGTTATTCTTGAAAAGCAGTGAGGGTGTGGTGTTAACCTTTGGATGAATAGTCTATGAATAGGATGAATAGGAATACCCCTCATCTGAGAAGTAGCTTAGTTATGGAACATGGTAAGGCCTAGAGAAGCTGGCAATGTGCTGCACCCAAGTAATAGGAAAAATTATGGCTTGTTAAGTACTGTATCAAAGCAATTGAAGTAAGACTGCACACAAAGTTTCTGGATTACATTCATAATGTTCCATTACCTGTAGTTTTTCCTAGAAATACCTAAGATCAATTATTTTTTATGATCATAAGTATGCATTTGCTTTATTATCTGTTTTCTGCAGTTTAATTCAGTGAATCAGAACATATTAGAACAGATCAAAATTAGTGAAAATTTTAATATAGGCATTACATGATAAGAGTATAGTTCCTTAATAATGCTTTTATCAGTCCTTGTAATTTGTCCTATGTCATCATTTCATTTTTGAGTACAAATGCAGATGGTAGTATTCTCTGAAAGTTAACCCAGCAGGTACTATGCTGTGTTTGTCCCTGACAGTGCTTGTATCTGTGAAATGGTAACTGCTTGGCTGTCTGATAATAACCAGAAATTAAGTCATTGAAATTCATTTGAGAGAACCTTCATCAATTTTGTTTTACCTCCTCAGCGGCTGTGACATGCCTACTCTCCTTGATATGTGCCACCCTTCTTGGGTGGATGGATGCCCATCGAAATAGACAAACGGCTGAAAATGGAGATGCTCCAGCTGAAGTGATTCACCTTAAAGATGTCAAGGACTTCCCTGCATCCTTCTGGCTCACATCTGTCATTGCTGTGGCTTATTATGTTGCCATCTTCCCATTCATTGGCCTTGGACAGTATGATCTACTCTTGATATGATTATTCTAGAAATATGGAATGGTATTTGATGTACTGTCTGTTTGTGCTGCAGAGTATTCTTCGAGCGGAAGTATTCACTACCCCCAGCAAAGGCAAACCTTGTGAACGGAATTGTGTATGTGATTGCAGCAGTTGCATCTCCATTTATGGGATTTCTCATTGATAAGACAGGGCGGAATGTGTTTTGGGTCTTCCTGTCCATCGTTGGAAGTATTGGGTGCCATGCTGCACTTGCCTTCACCTTCTGGAATCCACTCATCCCCATGGTTAGTCACAGAGGAAGAGAAAAGGATTGATATTGAAGAGATAAACTATAAGTTAATGAATTTTGAATGTAGGTTTCCCTGGGGTTCATGTATTCATTACTGGCAAGTTCCCTCTGGCCCATAGTAGCCCTGGTCCTTCCTGAGCACCAGCTTGGCACTGCTTATGGCTTGTATGTCCTTTCACTGTCTCTCTTGTGTTTCATGAAGGAACTACTGTTCCATTGACATGCACTTTTTCCCTCCTAAGAGTGCAAGCAGTACAGAACTTGGGACTGGCTGTGATCACAATGGTGGCTGGAAACATAGTTGATTCCAAGGGATATTTTGTTCTTGAGACTTTCTTCCTAACTTGGCTTTGTAGTGAGTCTGTAATTCATATTTCATTTTGGCTTCTCTTAAGGTTGTTAAGCAAAATCATGTGGTTTCTTGTTTGTTTTAGTTAGCCTTGTGGCAATCGTGCTGCTCTGGCTGATCGACTTTGGACAGGGAGGAATCCTCAACATGTCGATTGCTCAACGCAACCAAAGAGAACAGGAAACAATGTACAGTCGATTCTCATTGATAATGGAACTTAGTACCCAATATGATTTCCCTTAACATATGTTTGTTTGGATGAAGAAAGATCTGGTCTGATTTATTTATACCCTTTTTTCTCATCACTATAGAATGTCTGCATATTCAAATTTTTATGAAGTGCTGATTTCTTTAACAGAAAGAGTGGGTCAATACAGTATGGGCAATCTCAATTAATTAGGCATACTGCATATTACCACCCTCACATGATCTAGCATAGTGTCTTCAAATCACATACATGCATTTTCATTGTTCAAAAAATATCCAAAGAGGCATGAAGATAGATGGAGGGATTGAGAGAGCAGGGTCTTTTATGGAGCTAGATGAAGATCTTCATGATTGTTTACTAATAACAGTAATGAGACTAAACTTTCTTCTCTGAGTTTCTGAAACAGGATGAGATCTAACTGGAGGAAATACAATTGTTGGAATTCTTGACTCTTTTGACTAGTGGCCTTTCTGCTTTTGGAAGAGAAAGACAAACTCATGCATTCAAATTTTATCTCTCTTCTTTGAAAACTCATGTTTATTGAGGGGAGTTTTCATGTAACAGACTTGAAAATTTCCTTTACCCTTTTTAGTGTTGTGCAGCCCATGTATATCCCCATACTTTCGCCCATGTGCACTCCTGCTAAAGATCCCAAAGGCGATTTTTTTTGCCATGGCATTTCATTAGGTTTCTTCCATCGTGTAGTTGGGGTTATTGTTAGATTACATAAAAAATAGATCTACAGCATTTTTTGAAGTGGTAGACATGGCTGAAAAGTCTGCCTCCATGGTTTATTTACTATATTTCATTATCCAAAATAAGGAGTTTCTATATTGACTCTTTGATGGTTTTTGTGAGTTCTTCTGATTTTGTACTTAATTATAGGCAATTCAGATTTAATTGCTTCTGGAAACAATATCATGTTTCTCACTGCTCACAAGAGTTCTTCATTTCATAAATCATAAATCTCATGCATTGGAGATGGGATCTCGTTTGCATTGCAGGGCAGCAGAGGCATTGGAGAGAGAGAAGCTGATGGCATCTGGCTCAATGGCAGACATCACGCCTCAAGATCTCTTACACAGGGAGCACCTTTCCGAATTCTCCATCCGCAATCGCTTCTTGTCTCGCATTGGAGCTCATGTGAGTGCACCTAGGAATAAATTGGAAGCTTTAGTTCTTCTGTGGAAATGTTGATATGCCATCATCTGCAGCTGCCAGAGCATTATGATGTGCGAACGAGGTGCCTGGTGCACAACAAGATGCTCAGGTGATACTGGTGTCTTCATCATGGCTGTCAAAGGTACCTGAAATGGACAGAGAAACATCATGTGATTTGTCATGCCCTACATCAGCAGATGAGCAGATCTCTGTGTGAAGCTGGAAGATGTATGCAGCACTGTTGTGATAGCTGTATGTTGGGCCGATGTTGAGGCATGGCTGTACTGCAATCCAAAAATAGTGTACTGGTATGTGTGAGATGACGCTGATGTTCTGTTGTGACCTTATGATACCAGTACAACATTCTGTTGTTTTGGACATGTGCAAAGATGAACAGAACTCAAATTTTGCTTTGTATTTTTAGACCTAATCATCTGTGCTGTTAGTGGGCCTATTCTACTTCATCAAGCTGGATATCATAGTATTTACTGCATCGAATCATTTTGAAGATCTGTATACCATCTGCATTTCCTGTGTCCATTTCTGTAATGCATATGGTGATCACTGGTAGCAAGAGTGGAATCCTTGTAACCTTATCTCTTGGAATAATACTGCTATTTGTTTATACTGGGGAATGGTTTCTTTTCTGGCATTGAAAGCATGTGACTATGAAGTGAGATGGCTTCCTTGGGGAAGTTGCCTTCTTGTCTGCCAGGCAAAAAAATCGCTCCAGTGCACAAAGTGCATCCAGATGCAAATATGGTGCTGATCAGAAAACATTCTTCATGATGTGCTGTGATGTGGTATGATATGATGTGTCCTTTCCAGGATGAGAAGACAGTAATGTCTTGATGATGGCCCCAGCACTAATGAGTGTTGTGGGTGGATCGAATGGGAGTGGGACTGTTCCCCCAAGTGCAAAGAAGATCAAACTTCATGGCGGAAGCTCTTCTCCTTCATTCTTCAGCGAGGACCCTAAGGAGCAGCGACGGCGACTTCCCATATTCTCTGCACGTCAAAGGTAGAACTACCTTTTTCTTTATCTTTTTTTCTTTCTCCAAGCCTTTTTCTTATTGATACAAGTTCAAAACTAGGGAGTAAAAATTAAAATGTGGCATTCAATTCTCATTCAAGATGCATGTGGTCTATAGAACTCAGCCTATGCTCTCCTTTCCCTTTCCATCATATTCATGAGATTTCAATAACTTCTTAAAAATTTGAAAGATTTATTGTGCCCAAGTCAGATGCTAATATAATAGAAACAGAAAACAGCTGTAAGAAAGGTTTATTATTTAATGGGAAGTGGGGGGTCTAGGGGTAAATGTTTGAAGCCTCAGACTTTTATTCTGCTACGTGAGACAAGTGAGTAAATGGATCAAATTTTTAAATATTATCAATAACAATAAATAGTAAACAATAAGTAAATTGAAATATCACATTCTTTACAGTATACTAGGAGACGTACTATACAAAACAAAGCATTGAGCCCAGCCTTGGTCCTTGCTCCATCACTCATGTAGATTCATGCAGGCAGAATTAATCAAAATCTCACAAGCCTAGGCCTAGTTTATAGCCATTATCTTTTCCCCAAAATTTAGCATCATGCAGCTGAATTTTGAGACTCCCGGAGCCAATCCGAAATGGCGCGTAGTTTGATACAGTATTGTTGCTGATATGGCAAATACTGCTTCTCTATGTAATAACGAGGTAGGCTACCTACAGAGGAATGACGAAACGGTCTTCGGCTTTTACTTTAGAAGGTAGAGCCCTACGGCCCGCGGTAGCATCCTGCAGGCTAAAAGTTTGACCACCCCTGAGGTAGATACTCCCCCCTCCTGAAGAGCCGGCCTCCTTTAGTGATTGTCCTGGCTTTCTTTGCTACCTCTCCATCTGATCTAGGTCAACCTATTTCCCTCCTTTTTGCATGGCTCTATTTTCTGAATGGTACAAAACCAGCTATCGGTTTGCAACATTGTGGAAAAACCTCTAAAGTAGATTCCTTACTTTATGACTGCGTTGGGTTTTGGGTTAAGATACACTTGCCAAGCTATGCACCTTGCAGCTCTTAGCTTAGGTCTGTTACAGGACCTTTTCCCATTGTTATTTATCGTTCCTCTCGGCTCCATTCGGCAGGAAACTGAATCTGGCCACAGCTTAATCCTGAACCTGGCTTTAATCAGCGCTCAGACCTCTCGGTTTCAACCTATTAGAAATAACAAGGTTCATATTTACGAAACGGGACCCTAGGCAGGCAGTTGGCCACTATAGTGAAGTCTGGGACGCACTTTCAGAAGACTACAGGTAAAGTTTTTTTAATATTAATATCGTTTCCTACGTCATTCCATACCGCGGCAGGCTCTGACGTGAGTGGTCGCAGATTTCGGCCGTGCGGATTTTACTAAATATGGTAACAAAAGTCCAGGAAAAAGGCCTTGATTCCTCTTGACATCCAGAACAAGGACAAGCTGACGTAGGTAAGAAGGCCACCCATTCTTTTTCTCGTGTCGCTTTCGCCTTTATGATGTACTGAAGACAATTGGGAAGACAAAGAGAAGTAGCAATTAATTGTTCATCCCCTCCTGAGCAATAACCTGACTCCTTATGAGCAGATTCTAGGTTAATGGATATATGGATGTACGCTACACTGCAGTTCGGAGTTTAAAAGTCGAATGACGTAAAAGCCGCGGACGGATACTAGTGCGCCTTTTTTTTTCATTCGGATTTTATTAGCAGAGTCTGCTGGATGAGAAATACGTGATAGGAGATACTTCGCCGATGAACGCCACACTGATGTCGAAACGTGACCCTTACAGAGGAAAGTTTCACATCAGCCTGAGTGCAATGCGAATTGAGGGCCATGTGCTGCTTGCATGGCGATAACTTTTTCTAGTTATCTCTCACTCCTTGCTCCAATGGAAATCTATAAAGTTACTGTTATTACAGATCGTATTTTATGCACGAGAGCATGCTATCTTACGTTCCTCAGGTGCAAGGACGGGGCTTGAATTCTATTTTGTACGTCGAAATGAAGGTTGGTGGAGGAGGTTCGAAGGCACGAGAGCGGAATCGTGATCGGGGAGACGGGGAGCGGAAAGACAACCCAGGTCCCCCAGTTCCTCCTGGAGGCGGGTATCCTCGGACCGGGAGGGGCTGTGGCCGTAACCCAGCCGAGGCGCGTGGGCGCCGTCACGCTAGCGAAACGCGTCGCGGCCGAGATGGGCATCCCTCTGGGAACCATTGTTGGATACGCCGTCCGCTTTGAGGCCGTCGTCTCCCCGGACACCCGCATCAAGTTCCTCACCGACGGAATGCTCCTTCGCCAGGCCATACAATGTGAGTCTTAATCCGATCCCGAAGAGTCTTTGTAGCACACTCGTTGAAAGACTTTCTCCATGAATCATTGATATAATTCCCATTTTTTAAGTGTTTTTGTGTGGCTTTCATCATTAGTGATATACCCCATGTTAACACAGAAAGGACAGACACTTTATTGCCCGTGAACCGCTTTTTCGTTCTTTCGTTTCCATCCCCTCCATCCGCGTGGGAAAGAGGAGGGATGTGAGATGCTGTTGTCGGGTTCCCTTCTAGTGAATAATTTTGCTTATGTTCTACATACTGTATGCACACTTTACTTTTTTGTCTCTCTAACGCCCAGATGAACCTCGAGAAAATCCATGTTGGAAGGTCACAATCGAACGAAGCTTGAAAAGCTCCTGGATCCTATTTTGTAGGCCCAGAGTTGTCCGATTACTCGGTGGTGATCCTGGACGAGGCGCACGAGCGAAGCATTCACACGGACCTGCTGTTTGGGATCCTGAAAGCGGCGCAACGGAAGAGACGCGGAACCCCGAGACCCCTCAAGATTCTGGTGATGTCGGCCACGATGGACGTGGATCGCTTCAGCGCTTACCTGGACGGAGCACCTGTCTTGTACGTCCAGGGACGGGAGCATCCAGTCCAGATGCTTTACACCAAGACCCCCATCGGAGATGACGATTATGCCTTCGCGTCTGTCGCCACTGCCCTCCAGATTCACAGGGATCGCCCACCTGGGTAAATATATTTTTAATTGGCTGGATATTATGCTTTTGTGTGTCAGTCGAAATCTGTCAACGTTGGCGGGATTACTACTGATGAAAAATTCACGATATTGCGTCACGACTGACAACCATGATCACCTTGACATATTTGATTTTCTAAAAATTGTAATTAAATAACGAAGCTAGTTTAATATACGAACGCATTCAATGGTCATTCCTCCAAACAACCAACCATACCCTTCTTTCCTAATATCCCCCGAAATTTGCATTTTCCATTTATGCCCGCAAGACCCGACGGCAAATGTATATACCGACCATTCGGGGACAGAATAATAACCAAGGGCCTTTGGATTCGCCGGTCCTCAGGTATCATCTGTGGGTCGCAATGATAAAGAGATGCCTACAGAAACAACCTCACTGTATCGCATAATTCATCGTGTGATTGTACGTGTCCTTAACTGTCTATGTACCAGAGTTGCAGTTTTGCAACAACTTGAAGCATCCTGACCAAGCTTCGTGGAAACTCTATTTTTGTATTGATCCAATGTTGTATATCTGCAACACGCCTCACAATGCAGTTTCTCAATAGTGCTGCCCTCTTCAGTTAAATATAGGAAGCCTCAGTTGAATACGGTTGAACACAGAAAGCATGCGTTTAACCAGAGGATCTTGAAGAAAAAAAAACTAGCCAGGGGAGATCGATATTCGGTACATAAAGGATCAAAGGCAAACAACCTAATGGCATTTGCTCGGCTTCATGGGTTAGCGGTTGGGTATTCTTCATGTTGCGTTTAAATACGGACATCTTGTATATATTTATGCGGAATGCAACTAGTATAGTGACTAAGAGAAAGTGTGAAAAGAAACTACTCCACCCACGCCATAAAGGCCAAACGGCATGCCTTTTTAACTTTGACCTTTATTTTCATGCAAACTTCATGATACACAATCACATAAAAAGGCATTTAAAAAAAGCTTGAATTTGACGATAATTTTACCCCTTTACGTTAATTAGAAATATTATGGGTCCCTAAGCGATGACCACCTGACCTTGAATCGACTTTTCGACAATACTCAAATCGCAGTACTTTACAAAGCACTAGACCTAGGAAGATGAAAATTTATGCGGAATAGTTTCTCAATGAACCCTACATTTTCACAAATTTCATCAAAATCGGAGTCGGTCAAATCAGTTTTCACGTTTAGGTATTGATTTGACTTGGAATGCATGTTGGAAAAAGTATTCACTTTCTAACGTATGCACCTCATTGTGCGAAAATTGCGTGAGGGATTATGCACCTTTTGTTGGAAAATCAATTAAAGACGTATACGCTTCAGAATGAATATTCCACAAATTTCCAGAATTGGGGAATTCATTTAGTGGCGTACGCCCATAAGTAAAGTTTTACAGTACTCTCATACCCTCTGATTACAATAGGAGGAAAGTAAGCTAGGTTATTTTGTGACAGTGTAAGGTATGACATGTTTTGAAAGATCACTTGAAAAACGAAAAGTATATAAGTTTCTTTTAGAATTTGGCATCTTTTCTTTTCACACACGAGCTCATTTGAAATCATCACTCAACATGGGAGAACCCACTCAGGCATCTCCTCTAATAGTCCTTCCAGTCTATCTTGATTTTCATTTCCATTTTATTAATAAGTACCACGCAAGTGACATTCATAAAATGTGATAGAATGCCTGAGTTATTTCATTTAAAAAATAATCATTATAATTCATTCCGTATCTTCAGTTCCTGAAGATTAAGAACTTTTGCTTGGAATGTAAAATTAAAAAATTTGGTGAAATTTCGAACTAAGGCTCTCCGAACCCCTATGCCATGGACAGACCCAAAGGTTTTCGTGATCCGAGAAATTGGATTTCAGGGGAGACATCCTAGTGTTCCTGACCGGGCAGGAGGAGATCGAGGCGGCAGCCAAGACCCTCCGCGAAGCCACCAAGGTTCTTCCTTACTTTTATTTCGATTTTGCTTTCGCGTTTCCTTCTCTGTTGGCGTCTAACCCTCTGTGTGCAGCACGCATCAAAGGAAGAGGGTGGAGGCGTGAAGGTGTGTCCGCTCTACGCCGCTCTGCCGTGGCTGAGCCAACAGGAAGTGTTGAGTCGCCTGGCGGGCCCTCAGCGGAAGATCATCCTCAGCACCAACATCGCCGAAACGTCCGTCACTATCCCTGGCGTCAAGTACGTCGTGGATTCCGGGCGCGCGAAGATTCGTACTTTCGACCCTTCCACGGGCCTCGAGGTCCTCCAGGTGACAAAGATCTCGAGGGCGCAGGCGTGGCAGCGATCGGGACGCGCCGGGCGGGAGGGGCCTGGCGTCGCGTATCGTGTCTATGCGGAGTCGCAGTACCATGCCTTGAGCGAATTCCCCACCCCCGAGATCCAGAGATGCAACCTGAGGACGATCCTGTTGGAACTGTTGGCTGTCGGGGTTCAGGAACCCTCCTCCTTTGACTTCTTGGACAAACCTTCTCCCAAGGTCTCTCTCTATTTTCCTGTACGATGTTTCCATGTTTCCTGTTGCACCCCTTCAGAGCTAAACCTTTCGAATCGGTCGGTAGTCAGTATTTAGCATCTCTTATTTAGTCTAGTATCGATCTAATTTTAAATCTTTGTTATATGCTTTTTAGTATTCATGTCCAGCTCGCTTTCAATCTATCACTTTGACCCCGGCTCGATATTTATGTTTTCGATCTTTCTTATTCTTCATTTGTCCCCATTATTATTCCTCTGTTTCATCCAATCGCTCTTGGGCTGTCCGGTTGCCCTTGGGCGGTATCACCCGACTGTCCAGTACGCCATGGCACGATGGGTTGGGACCGTGCACCTCGGCAGCACCCACCATGGGTATGACGTGCAGCGATGAGTGGGCGTAGAGTCCGAGCGGCATCGAAACTCCCATCAGCTTATCTTGCCCTGATTTCATTAGATTGGAAAAGTATTGTGGGGAAAAGGGAGGCGTGGCGATGCTGTTGGAGGTTTCTAAATACAGGGTAGACCAAAAAGAAGTTCCTCATTTTTCATTTAGCTGTTACGTATTCACTAATCGAGATAGGCGCCTGCAATTTATGTCATTGCCTAGAATGCCTAGACTAAATCCAACACACTTCATTTTGTGTGAATCAGTTAAGAAGTTTTTGCAGTGTCGATTTTACGGCGAGAGGTGAAAAACCGCCGCTGCGCGAACTGGGGATTCTCCCTCTTACCCGTACGCGTGTACATGGAGACCAGCATTGCACGCAAGAGCATTCCCTGGCAAAACGATAGACAGGTGAAAAAGAAAACTCCAAATAGCCAAAACGATAGGGTCTGCGCAGAATTAGGCCGCAAAAGCCTCGCTCCTCCGAACCGTCTGCTGAACCTTCAGCCTGTTCATAATATTATCGGTAAGTTTGTCGCGCAGTGGCGGTGTTCCACCTCTCGCCGTAAAATCGTCATTGTGCAAATACTTCTGCTTTCAAAATAAAAAGTGCATTTGATTGTAGCTTAGCCTTTCTAAACTGGTACAGATTGTAGGCACTTGACTTAATTAGCGAAAATGTTACAGCAGAATGAAAAAGGTGGAACTTTTTTTTGCTCACCCTGTATATACTCCTCCCTTCAGTATTCGTCCTGCCGCTCGTGGTGTCGTTCATTAACGTGCACGCGTCCGTCCCGGTCCGTCTTTATTAAAAAAAATCTTATTCGAGTCGACGACCGTGACGTGGACGAACGGGGCTGCCTTATATTTATCCATCCGCTTCCCTTTTCCCTCCCGTCGATGCTCATCTCTCTCTTTTCGTCGCTGTCTGAACGCGAAGGCGGTGGAGAACGGCCTGAAGGAGCTGCAGTACTTGGGAGCCATCGAACGCATGGCAGACGACGGAGTGCGACTCACGCAGACGGGACGACGGCTCGCCTCCTTCCCCCTCGACCCGAGATTCTCCAAGATTCTCCTTTCTGCCTCCCATCTCGGTTGTCTGTACGTTTCCCTCTTTCTTTCTTGGTCCGTACCGGTAGGCCAACCGGTGAAATTCTTGTCGTGTAAATGGATACGCAAAAAAAATAAATATTTGGGTTATGAACCTTAAGTAATATATATAGTTTACTTTACTTACTATATATATATATATATCCTTTATATTATTCCTTTCATGCGTGAAAGGAATATATATATTCCTTTCACGCATGGTGTCCACCATAGTGAATGGCAAAATTTTCAGCGACGATGATGGTTTTTTAGATATGATACACATACCTCGAAACTTTTTGTGCATAATCATCTCAAGGGCACATAATCTCTTCAGTGTTGCTTTCTAGCGGTGAAACATGCGACTACAAAGGCAGAATACCTCCTTAAACGTTAAACCAAAGAAGGCATATTTTTATTTTGCTCGAAAAATTCTTATTTGAAAGGGATGTACAGTATACGAGTATATATTATTTTTTTCCCCTGATAGTAATGAACATTTGCTTCTTCATTTCTCCAGTGAGAACATTGGATAATCCGAACAAGTAAGGGCTCTTTGATTATGAACCAAAATTATGCGCAGAAGTTGATTTGGATTGAAGTATTTGGACTTTGACCAGGATTGGGATTTTCATATTTGGGTTTGATTCATCTCCCACTACTTGGGAACCATTGATTTTATGGGAGGCCATAAAATAGTTTCCACCATTGAAGGGAAAGTATGCTCTCCTCCCTGCCCTCCACGCGCAGTCCAAGTGCAGTGAATGTTCTCGTGAGTAATGAGGCCATCGTTCCAGGGAAGAGGCGGTGAGCGTGGTGTCGCTGCTGTCTGGCGAGTCCGTCTTCCTCGCCTCTCGAAGCGATCAAAGGGGTCGAGAACGAAGGGATCATCCTCACGGACGTTTCTTCGCGCCTGAGGGGGACGTCGTTGCCCTACTCAACGCTTTTCGCGCCTACAAGTCCGTCAAAGCCAGCAAGGTGCGTCTCTGCCCTTCGCCCGGTCTCGGAGGCGGTGGACGTTTGTTTTCATCGTAACCGTTTACCTTTCGTTTCCTCTTCCCCCCCTTCCCGCATGACAGACGTGGTGCTACGAGAACGAATTGAATTGGAGGACCCTCTCGTATGCGACCGAAGTGCGGAAGCAGCTGATGCAATGCTGCCAGAGACAGAACCTTCAGCCGAGTTCCTGCGGGAAAGATTTGACCCCCTTGCGGCAGAGTCTCGCCTCCGGTCTATTTATGTCCTCTGCCGAGCTCCAGCCCGACGGTTCCTACTCCACTGTCAGTCTCACCTCCGTACTTGTTAGTTGTAGTGGTTATGGATACATATTACCTGTATTGACTGTCTAGTCCCATCACCGTTTTCACAAGGTTGGTTTCAGATGGGTCACGAGGAGCATGATGACCTTATCAAAATTCTTACCCACATCTTCGGTTCTTTCATCCTCTGTGATGATGTTTTCTGCTTTACTGTAACTAGGTTGGGTACACTAAGGCATCATCTGGTCATTCCAGATGTATCCTTTCTGAGCCAAATGCTTTGAGGGGGACCATCCCATGAAAGACATGACTTTGATTGGGCAACTGTTAATGACCTTTCTGCTGTTCTGTTCTAACGAATGGGGAAAATGAAAAAGAAAAAAAATTGACCGGAACGCAGTATCACCCAAGGTTGAGCCTACCATGGTTTTTAGAGGCCTTAAAGTGAAGTTATGAGCAGCCACAAGGCATAATTCCAGTTGCCCAGGCAGGCTGTCAGTACAGCCTGGGGAGTTTTACTTCAGTTTGTCAGAGTTGACTAGAGAATTGTGGGGTTTCAATGGGTCTTTGTTTAAAAAAAAATCAAAACTTACTGGTGACAGGAACAGGGAGATAGCAGAGGCACAATATTATAATTGTATAATTCAGTATTACGGTATTCTGATATGGCGAGGTACAGTACTGGAATTTTTCCCATGCACCAATGTCATTCCAAAAGTTCGCAGACTAATGTCACATGATTCAAGTTTTGTGGAGATTGTTTTGAATTGGAAATGGAATTTAGATGTTATCCTTTTCATGCGAACCTTCCCATAGTTAAGAGAATTTCTTTGCCATCAAGAAAAACAGCATATATGCTAATGGGGATTCGAAAAAAAAATTTGAAGCATTATAGATTCTTGGCATTTTCTCACCATTGCTTCACCAACCCCAATATCATTGTAATTTTGCTCCAACACAGAATTCAGAAGTAGACTGGCTTCTGACAAGCACGAAGTCGATGTGATTGTACGAGAAAAAGTTTTCTGTGTTCCTAAATAACGTATTCCTCGTGTTTCCTTTTCCTTCCTGACACGAGGAAAACGAGGTACGAGATGAACTAAAAATGTGTCAGATCGATCTGAAGCAACCGTGCCACTTCTCAGAGATGGTCTATAAGAGAATAAAGCGAGTGGATGATGGGTTTTCTTGTGGATTATTGATAAACAGGTAGGGAGCAGGCAGAAGGTAGGGATCCACCCGACGTCGTGTCTCTTCGGAGGGAAGCCGTCCTATGTCGTTTACGTGGAACTCGTTCACACGTCTGCCACGTACATGAGGAACTTATGTGTCGTGGAACCGTCTTGGCTTCTTCAGGCCTCGCCCGAGTTCTTTCACGCCCATCGTTTCCATTCCATTCGCTCCTGATTGTGTCCTCGTCTTCAACCTTCCCCAGATTTTGAGGGTGTATGTTGGCTTACACGTGGATCCAATTGAATAAACATGCATTAGAGTATTCCTTCATTATCTCCTACCTCTCGTATTCATAAAGCCATCCTAGAACATGAAGGATGCTTCGTAATAAGTAAAATGAGGTATTTACTACTCATCGCGTGACTCAATGAATCTTAGGGTCTTAGACTAGCATGCAGGAGGTCCTGGTGGGCAGGGCCGCCCAGAAGGGGACAATCTGCCCCGGGCCTCGTACTGTATATCCAGTGTTGGGCGGTAACGAAGTAAAAGTAACGCGTTACAGTAACTAATTACTTTTTTCAGTAACTTTTAAGGTAACGAGTTACTTTTCAGGGGAGGGTAACGGAACTGGTAACTAGTTCCTTTTTCATGGCAAAAGTATACGGCGTTACTGTAACGCGTTACTTTTCTT